TCCGAGGGGTGTGGTCCTGCGAGGGTGTCGGCTGGCTACTGGACCTCGGCTGCGGTCCAATCAGAATGCGGCACGGAGAACTTCGGTCCAATAAGAAGGTGACAGGTGGAAACCTCGCATGCGAGGTGACGTGGCCGAAGGTACACCATGCAAAATTGCCCGGTTTTCAATATTTCTCGATTTTTGTGCAAAAAACTTGCGAAAATCATAACTTTCGCATACGAGCTCCGTTTTCGACGTTCTTTATATGCACGCGTAGGTAAAATCATACTCTACGACTTTAGTTTAGACTTCGTCGGCTAATTTTGACTTTATTTTTAATATTATTATTTTTAACAGACCGAGACAGGAAATCCATTAAAAATTCATAACTTCTTCATCCGACGTCCATTTTTGTCTGTCTTTTTACCGTTGTAGTACTATTGACGAGATCTTCAATTCTCGTTTAGGTTGTGTCGGCTAAAAATCACTCGATCTTTATTTCGAGTTTTTAGCTGTACACTGCTATACTGAAACTTAGAAAAATCGTAACTTCATCATACGAAGTCAGATTTTGCTGTTCTTTTTATGAAAGTTCTCGGTTTAACATAAACTACAACTTTCATTTTAGATTGCTATGGCTAAAAAGCCTTTTATTGAAAATTCAGTTTTTACACTGAACAGTGTTTTTCCGGTTTTGTTGCGGATCTTCGATTGGTCATAACTTCTTCGTTATAACTCGGATTTTAGTGTTCTTTATATTTTTGGAAACCCTGTTACAATCTCTACCACTTGGTTCATCCCAATCGAGATTGTTTAATAATATATTTTTGAGGGTCAATTATGTAAATATACACAATATGCTAAAATTTCTCTTTATTGTTTTAAAAAGAACTACAAATTGACCTACATTATTACATAGGTTTGAAATAACGGTTTGTTACAATATTCTAACCTAATAAACACTCATCATTGTAGAGCATTTTCATGCTCCCACAGCAACCACCATGGTTGGTTGCCATGGTGGTTCTCTTCATTTTTCCGGCTAACAAAACACACACACACACACACACACACCTCCAACACACATACCCACACTCATGAAACACGAACACAACTGCAAACTCACTCTTGGTAGAGGACGACAGTCGAAGGAACAAATGAAAGGAACAACCACACGGAGCGGTGATAACGACGGCACTAACAAAAAACGAGTCGGAGAAGAGAGATGTGCGTGACCCCAACTGAGAACAACATCAGCAGCAACCACGAGCCTCCGGATCTTCCGACCTCCCCACTGGCAAAGCGTCCAAACATTGGTCTTCATCTTCGTCGGTAACGGGAGCAGCGGCGGTGGTGCTCGGTGGTTTACGACGGCGGCTGGAGGTTAGAGGGATAAGGGTGGTGACTGCAACCATATTAGGGTTAGGGTTTTGGGTTATTTAAATGGGAGGCCAAGGGAGGGGGTGACAGGTTTTAGCCCCGCCTCTTTCAGTTCAAACTTAATTCCATTTATTCACTTTCAGCCCCTCCTTCTCAATTCTTTTTCAAATTAAATCCATAATTTAATCTATAGCCCCCTGTTTCCAAAAATCCTTTCGATTCAAGTCCAAAAGTTACCAAACAGCCCCTAGCTTCCACAAATCTATTCATAACTAGTCCATAAGTTACACTTTAACCCTCGATTTCCAAAATTTTGTTACATTTAACTCCTTGCGCTAATACTTTGATTAATTATTACGGATTTAGGGCTAAAATAAATTTGTAAAATTACATCCTAAGGTTTTAGAGTTTATTATTTATTTATTTTATTTATTTATTTAATTTTAAACGGATGTTACAACTTTAAATAGTGTTGTAGTTTAGGGTATTTGGGACACACTTTTTTAGACATTTTGAACTTGTACTCTTGACTACCTCCAAACTGAATATGAGCTAGAAAAAATTTATTTACATCTTGTGTTCTTTCTTTTTATTGAATTCGATACTTGACTAAATCCTTAACTCGTCACAGAGTTTTCTTTGTCTCAAAAAGTCACAGTTGGAGATGTACTTAGATGAGCCAAGAAATGACATATGTAGCGATTTAGACGTTTATTCTTTTTGGAAAGTACATCAATACCGTTATCTGGAGCTTTCTTCTATAGCTAGAGATATTTTAAACATCCTAGTCTCCATTATAGTATCTGAATCTGCCTTTAGTAATGGTGGTCGTATTATTAATCAATATCAAAGTTATTTGAAACACGACATTGTTGAGGCTATAATTTGTACCAACGATTGGTTGTTTGAAATTAAAGGTATTTGTTTTTTTACCTGTTGAAAATTTGAATTCAATGTATTAATTTTTTTATTAAGTTTACATTATGTTTTATTGTTTTGTAGGTGATGAAGGGTTAAGTTATCTTTACAAAAAACTTACCGATGATATCATGAAATTGGATAACAACGATATACACGAGTAGAAGAACACATTTCTATTTTATCTTAGAAATTTGAGGACATTCGGTACCATTTTATGTTTTTTGTCGTGTTTGTCGTTTTTAAGCATTAATTAAGTAAAAAATTTGATATTTTTTGTTATTTGTCGTGTTTTTCGTTTTTTAAGCATGAATTAATTAAACAAAAGAAAATTTTATGTTACTTTTGTCGTGTTGTCGTGTAAAACGTGTTTGTCGGTTTTTAATTTGAATCGTGTTCGTGTTAGGGAAAAAACAAAAAGTCGTGTCGTATTGTTTTCGAGTTATGCAAAAATAATTCGTGTCCTGTTGTGTTAGGCATATACACAGAATGAATGCCCGAATTAACAAGCTTAGTGGATTGTGGCCAAGGTTGGTGGTGGTGGTGGTTGTAGTTAAGTTGAGAGAGAGAGAGAGAGTATGGTGGTGGATGGTATCAAATGTTGGCTTATCAGATAATGAGAACATAAGGTGGACCGTTGGATTGTCTACAAGATGGAAGACCTCGATTGCATAAGAAAAGAGCACACAGATCGTGAACAATCGTGGCGACACTATTAGTGACAACGAGAGTATTAGAGGCGACAATTGAAAAGCTTTAACAACGATATGAATAATGTGGGGTGAAAATAATGCGGTCTTTTTTCATCGACATTAGTGATGACACAAACATGGCGACAATGACATTGATGACGACATTCCCAGGTGTCCACTAATGCCTACGCCGTCCATATTAGTACCGTCGCTAATGCCCATATTTATTGTAGTGATTTGAGAAATTTATATCTACTTCTTGATTCGCTGAAAACCCGGGTGAAAGTTCGTTGGAAACTAATCTTTTATGATAGTTGCCATCGTTTACAAAGTAGCAATTATATTTTTGAAAAAATTGTTGTTAAATCGACATGCATTCTTTTGAGGAAAACTGTTGTACAATGTACATTGTACACATTTGATTCAAATTGTTATATGTATGCATTAACTACAATAAATTTATTTTGTTTTATGTGAATTATTATTTATAATATTGGTCATGCGTTTCATTTAATTTAAGAAATTTGCTACCAAATAACACACTAGTTTAATATATAACCACCATATACTCCTAATTACATAATCTCATAATTTTATAGATAAGAAAGTTCCATACACAATAAATGTTCGCAAATAATTTATATGGTTGTTAAAAAAAACCAACAATAGATTTTTATTTCTTAATCGATGATTACTCACGTGAACGATTTGTCTCTAACATAGTTTTATTAAAGTGATTATCAAACCAAGATATATTATATATATATATATATATATATATATATATATATATATATATATATATTTTTCGTAAAATAACATCTTCTAGGATGGGTGGGATTATCAATTGCCAAAAGTTCTATCGGCTCCTAGGTTGGTTCGGGTAATCTCTTACCACATGTGATCCTAGCTTCCAGATTGGACACCATGTAATAGACACAAATCTTCACTTTCGAACATGTTCCTGATTTTGAACATGTCACGATTTTCTAATAAGTTTGTGATTTTTATACATTAATACGTTCATGATTTTTTTTACCAACAATGTTACAATGTTGACTTTGAATCTCTGATGATCGTTTGGGTGGGGGTAGTGTTGGTTATGGTTGTTCAAATTGAGATAGGTTAAATAGTGAGACTCAGGAATATGAGTGACAATCAGGACATACGAAAGAAAACCGAACTGGGAATGTGGATTTATCTAATAAATGAACTTTTTGCTGCAAAGTAAAATAATTTATTTATTATTTTTTTTTGAAAAAAAAGCTATCTTAGAAATTAATTATGGTGTTTCAAACATAATCTGATAGTTAAACTAAATAATTGGCCTTTGTTAATTGTTCTGCGATTTTAAGGTAGAGCGTACCACGAATAAGCATAAGCAAACGAAAACCACAATAGAATATAACTATACAAGTAACTTAGCAACGATTATTTGACAAATGATAAAAATATCAGATAGGACAAAGCCTAAGGGTGTTTTTGTAAGATTTTCGTTAAGAAACGAACAAAAATCTATTATTTTATTATTTTATTATTTATTATTTTTTATTTTAGACAGTTATTTTTTTTTTTTTTTTTTTTTTTTGAAATTTGATTTAGATAACTGATTGAAGATCTTATGATAATCAATTTTGAACTCTAGAGTTAAGGAAAGAAACTTATTTTTTTCTTTTTATAAGTATTTTGTTTTCATTGTTTGTCGGAAAGTTTTTCAATTATGAAAAAAAATCTAATTTTAAATTTTAAATTTTTATTTTTGTGTGCTTGTTGGTTGTATTTTACCATTTAATCCGATTGTTTGGACAACAGTTAAACTTAAATGGTCACCGAGATCAATTTTAGCTCGACATCGCTAACGAAAAGTCAAACTGAGCTCAACTCAAACTCAAAGGTGTTAGATTAAATTCGAATTCACATATACAAACTAAAAGGGCGGAAATGGAAATAATTAAACTAAAAGGGTAGTTTATGTAACTAACCCTACTTTTTGAATGAGAAACGAGAACCTAATTGGGGTACATAATGAGCTGGACCTCATCTACCTTCTTCTGTAGCTGGCAATGGCGTTGTAATCATATGGGTCCACTCGAAAATTTGACCCGAATATCCTCTCTCCTCAATCGGACCCACATTCGGAGACTACATACTCACCTACGGAACCTCTCCAATAATCAATCAAATTCGTTTTGCGTCAGATCCCTCTTTCTTGATTTTGAACCCATTTGGTTCGAATTTTGGTTTGTCCTATTAGGTTTCCCGATTTTGATTGGCGGGAAATCTGTTCTTACTTGTAGGCGATTATTTTTTCAATTTGAGGAGAGAATTTGAGTAGCAGATCAGAGAATTCTAGTGGTTTTTGTTGAATAAGAGATGGGTGTTTCGGATAATTCGACAGGGTTGCTACTGGCGGTGTTGTCTAGTGGATTTATCGGAACAAGTTTCATATTGAAGAAGAAAGGTCTTAAGCGTGCTGCTGCTTCCACTGGTTTTGGTGCAGGTATGTGGGTGTTGGGATCCTGTAAAATTGAATTCATAGTTGTTAGAGCTTCATATAGTGATTTTGATAATTTGGCATTGCTTTTAGGGTTTGGATTATATTTGGGTATTTGTTTACTTTGGTCAGTTTGCAATCTGAATATCTGATAAGGTTAGTGTTGTAGAGGCTCTTTGAAGGTATGAATTTGAGATGGAGTTTGCATAAATCTGTGGACTAATTGTTTGTAAGCCAAATGTAGGTTCTTTTTCCATATCTTTTGAGTGTGTTTTTGGATATGTGATTCACAAGTGATTATGTGGTATTAAAGATTTAGAATAAGATAACAGTTGTAATATATGGTGAGGGGAGATAGTGCTTGGATGTGAGTTTAGAACCAATTAAATGATACTGAATAATCTGAATCAGATAATCGTGGTTTAGGAGATAGGAGATGATGATGGTGTTTGGATTTGCTTTTGCTTCCTGAAACTGTAATAATCACTTAAAACTTTTGATGATGTTAAGTGTTTGACAAAATTTTATTATTTAAGGAACTTTATATAAAGGTACTTTACTAACATTACAACGATTTCTTTAAACTCTTTATGTTTAAATTTTTTCCAAGTTGCTATCAGTATATTTATTTAATAAGTCCAACTTTATTATTTCTAAACATTTTAAAACAATTACTTTTTATGTTTCACATGAAAAATAAACTACATGTTTTGAAGTTTCAACTACAAGCTTGTAACCACACGAAATCATTGTGGGCAACAATTTTCCACATTTTCTAATTTATGCAACTTTTCATTCTAGAACCAAAAATATGCAACACTTTTACCAATTTATACAACATTTTTACCAATTGCTATTTCTTTCATTTAATCTTTATCTCCACAATATTTTAGGACATGGAGGTTACACTTACCTACAAGAACCACTATGGTGGGCTGGAATGATTACAAGTAAGTTTTCAATAAACAAAAGAACATGATCTATTTCATAATATGGAATATATTTGATTGAATTTGGTTTTTGAATATTTGATTGAATTTGGGTTTTGAATAACATATAGTGATTGTTGGAGAGGCTGCAAATTTTGTTGCTTATGCTTATGCTCCAGCTGTTCTTGTAACTCCTCTTGGTGCATTGAGTATAATTGTTAGGTAATAATTTAAATAAATGGTTTAAATAAATGAAAGTATGTTGTTATTTCTTATAAACACTTGAAATATAATCTGTTTTAAATTTTAATCTTAAACAGTGCGGTTTTGGCACACTTTTTGTTGAAAGAAAGGTTGAAGAGATTGGGTGTTCTTGGATGTGCTTCATGCATAGTGGGGTCCATTGTAATTGTCATTCATGCACCCTCTGAACACACTCCAACTTCTGTTGAAGAAATATGGAATCTAGCAATTGAACCAGGTTCTTTTTTCTTTTTCTTTTTTATAAATTTTCCCATTTGATAAATCATGTTTATAAAATATTGAGAAAATAATAAACAAGGGTTGTTTCCTAGACTTTTTGTATTAAGTCGTTCTTTCTGTATTAAGTCATAAAAACACACACACACATATATATGTTATATAGCTTATTGGATTAAGTGAAAGAGAAACAACAAATTAGTAATCTATTTTTTATTTTTATTGGCAGCATTCTTGATATATGTAGCAGCTACATTGTCATTAGTAGCAGCTCTTGTGATGCATTTTGAACCAAGACATGGGCAAACAAATATATTGATATATTTGGGGATATGTTCTTTAATGGGTTCACTAACGGTATTTTCATGGATTATTTATTTATATTTATATTTATTTCCTCACAAAAAAAAAACATTTTTTTTTTCGTAAGGCAAAATAAAGAAAAAGCACAACCTACTTTCACTACTTTATCGATATAAGTCATTGAGCTATTATTATAATAAGAGTTCAGTGGCTAAATCAAGTACAAATTTTTGTCCTTTTTCTGATTTTGACTAAAGTACCCCTGTCTGATTTTGTAGGTTGTAAGCATAAAGGCCATTGGTATTGCAGTAAAGCTTACTCTAGAGGGAATCAGTCAGATTTCATATCCTCAAACTTGGGTGTTTGTTACTGTTGCTGTGTTATGTGTTATTACACAGTTGAATTATCTTAACAAGGTAATGTTCATGTTCTTTTTATTTTTGAAGTAGTCAAAGCACACATCTGTATAAAAGGGTATTTTCGTAATTTAGAAACCTTTGAAGTTGCAAAGTGACGTGGGGCCACCTCTATTTGCAGGCTTTGGATACATTCAATACAGCAATTGTTTCCCCAATATATTATGTGATGTTCACTTCACTAACAATCATCGCAAGTGTAATAATGTTCAAGGTATCTCTTAATTAAACTGCTATTTTTTTTTTTTTATAGATGCAGCCCCTGAAGTAAAATTATTATAACCATTAAAAAAAAACAAAAAACAAATGCAGGATTGGAAAGATCAGAAGGCTAGTGACATAGTATCTGAAATATGTGGATTCATCACTGTTCTTTCGGGGACAATTATTCTCCATTCAACAAGAGAACAAGAACCATCTTCACCACCAGGTATGCTCCATTCATCTTAAGCTTTTGGATTATTGTCATTAGTAAAGGGTATTTTAGTCATTTGACAAAAATTCAACACTTTCCTACTAAAACCACTTTTGATTTTAGCAGAAGGGTATTTTAGACATTTGACAAAGATTCACTTGGCTGAAAACTATGTGTCAAGTGAAATATTGCAATTTTCGAGGTTTCGGATTCTCCTAATGGTGTCTCTAGTAATCAATCATCATATCTCTTAAAAAGATTGATTGATATTGGATAAAGGGTACTTTAGTCATTTGGCAAAAAAAAGTCAAAAATCTACTTTTGAAAACCACCTACCAATATTCAAGTTGTACTGTGTTTGACATGTGTTGGACTGGGGCTAAGACTGATATAAATGATTGTAATTTTTGTAGGAAATGTAACATGGTATGATCAAAATCCTATAAAATCCGTTGAGGAAGATGAACATTTAATCACAGTTCATAATTCAGATTATTTCGACTAGAAATCTCATTTCAAGATTTTAGTTCATAATTTCTTGGAGATGCATTGAAATTGCAATTGGGGTTGGGTCAAGGCAAAAGTTGCAAGGGTTTTATTGGTCAAAAAAGGTTTTTAAACATTGTATCATATTTGATACAAAGTCCCCAACCAATTATCATTCCATTGGCTCAAATTGTTTGAATTCTCATCAAGATTTGTACATATATATTCTTTTTTGTTTTTCTATTTGTTCTTATGATTTTAGTTTGGTGTGTTTGCTTTTTTAGTTTGTAAAGAACAATTATTCATCTTTTAATACACATATTAGTTTATACTTTATACATAGATGGTGAAAGATATTCAAAAATAGAAATTATGAATGGTGAAAATGAACTCTAATAGTCACTATGCTAGCATGTACTAAATTACATTACTACCCTTGAGGTGGGTTTTAAAAAAATAAATGAAAATTCAGTTATTTTCTAAAGCATGTTGGTATTACGACCAATGGATTATAAGCATGCTGTAATTTTAGTAAAAATATAAAATTATTTTGCATGTCCAAGGATTAAGTATGTATAAAAAGATCAAATTACACAAGTGGTCTTTGTTGTAGGTAGAAAATACTATTGGAAGTCTTTTTGAAGAATTTTTAACATGGTTAGTCATTTTTAGGTTTAAAATGTATATAATTTTGTCATTTTCCACCATTCACAAGGACACATCGTGTGCATTTTATAAATATAATAATGACCAACCATGTTATTCAAAATGATCCATTGTGTGAGTTTTAAACCCGAAAATAATCAATCAGATTAACTTGTAGTGATATTTTCTGGGGAGTATGACTTATTAAGGTAATTAGTTTTTTTGATTTGTTCATATCTGGGTAACTTTTTTTTTTGTACACATCTAGGTAACAAACTTGTTGGAAGTGTTCACATATGACCATTATGACCTGCTGTAGCAGGTTATATCCTAGATATGAACACTTTCAACAAGTTCGATGTGTAAAAAAAAATAGTTACCCACATATGAACAAAACAAAAAGTAAGAGTAAATTACACGAATGGTCCCTGTGGTTTGGGGGAATTTGTGTGTTTGGTCCCTAATCTATTTTTTTAACTCGGATGATCTCTACTGTTTATTTTTGCTGCGCGCTTGGTCCATGTCTTACCTAAAAAGAATATTGTGTCCTTATTAATTTATTTTTTTAATTAATTTTCTTATTTATGTATTCATTCTTTATATATTTAAAAAAAATTAATAAACCCCACATATCTGTATCTCCTCACCATCCCATCTCTCATCCTCCTCAACTTCTATTTATTTTCCATCTTTAGTGATATCGACGTCTTCACCATCCATTCTTTTTTCGGTCCTTCAACTTCGTCGAATCAACACCACAACCCACTAATGGTGAAGAGACAGTGGGTTATGGTGTTGGTTCGCCAGAGTTGAAGGACAAAAAAAAAGGATGGTGAAGACGTCGATGTCACTAAATATGGAAAAAATATAAAAGTTGAGGAGGATGAGAGATGAGATGGTGACGGATGAGACCCAAATTAAATTTCTCAAATGTGGTTTCAGGTTTACGGTGAGGAGATACAGATATGCATGGTCTATTAATTTTTCTAAATATATAAAAAATAAATACATAAATAAGAAAATTAATTAAAAAATAAATTAATAAGGGCACAATAGTCTTTTTAGGTAAGACAGAGACCAACGCCCAACAAAAATAAACAGTAGGGACCATCCGAGTTAAAAAAATAAATTAGGGACCAAAAACACACATTCCCCCAAATCACATGGACAATTCGTGTAATTTACTCTTACTTTTCATTTTGTTCATATTTGGGTAACCATTTTTTTTGTATACATCTAGGTAACGAACTTGTTAAAAGTGTTCACATCTAGGATGTAACATGGGAGAGCAGGTCATAATGGTCATATGTAAACACTTCCGGTAAGTTTGTTACTTAGATGTGTACAAAAAAAAAGATAGTTACCCAGATGTAAACAAACCAAAAAGTTAATTACCTTAATAAGTCATATTCCCTATTTTTCTGCCTACAACAATTACCATTTGTGTAATTTTGTCTAAAGAGAATATATCTCTATTTTGTTATTATAAGTTGAAAAGTGTATATAAAAATCTAAATATTACAAAAAAGTTAATAGATTGTTATATCATCCAACAAAGTAGTTTTTTTTTAACCGACAAATATATTATAAAAGGCCACCGCCTAACAACTAGCTAGACGGGGCAAGAAGAAAAACAGGTAAAGGAGATTACATCATAGTTTTTTGATTTCTATAGACATCTAAGTGGGCATACACACCACTCAACCATTGATAATGACGGTATGATCTCCTATGCTTTACCCATGTGTACACTAGGGATTTGACATTGTCCGCTATCCTAGTTGGAGCACGAATGTTTTTAAAAACCAAGTCACATCTTGATTTCTATATCAGCCAGATAGCACCATAGCATACACTTATAAAATTATTTCTCATCGTTGGGCATCTCCCCAAATTCTTTGCAAAAAAGATGAGTTCTCCAATGTTGTCAAATTGTGGGGCAGGAATGTCACACCATTTAAAGATCCACTCCCATACTATTATTGCCTGTGGACATCGAATCCGAATACGCCTGACATCATCTTCCATATACCTAAGCATCAAGGTTAGGTGGCGTTCTCCAGTTCCATGTCTGTTGCGACATTTGTATCCGCTCATTAACTTTGCAAGATTTATGTCTCTCAAGTTGGTACAAATCTGGGAATTTGTTTTTGAGAGGCTCATTACCACACCATGTATCAAACATGAAAAAAGACAAAAGACAAAAGACATTTAACCACTTCCAAAACAAAGAACACGAGAATGTCATCTCTTTCACATACCTGTTTTTTGAATATGTCTTGGAACTCGATTCTAACCTTTTGTAATTCAGTTTTCGCCCCAGCCACGTTGTTCCATGCCTTAGAAATGGATATTTTAGATAAGGAATCAGAAGGTTTGTTACTTAAATTGTGGATGCCCATTATTACCCTTCTCCATAATGCCGACTTTTCTGTTTTAAACCCCACCACCATTTAACGATCAAAGAGAAATTGAAGGTTCGGAGTGAACCCAATCCCAATCCTCCATTTTCCTTTGGTGCTACAATATTTTCTCAAGCAACCCAACTTATTTTTTGCTTATTGTCACTTCCGTCCCACAAGAATTGTTTTCTAATTTTTTCCAGTGTATTAAATATTAATAACTCCCACCAAAGTAGCTAGGTTTCATATTTGCACTTTAAATGCACGCTTTAATTGGTTAGAATAACAATAAATGATTTGGAGACAAATGTCAAGAAGTTCACTATTTTCTTCGCCAAAGTTATGTCAGAAGTTAATGTTTATGGTCAAAAGTTGTATTAAATTATAATTCTACCACCAAGCGTTTTGGCTCAAAAACCATTTATTTTCAAATCTCACCGAAGATCTTACTATCTTTAATGAGACATCGAAATACTACTACCACGTTCATAGATCCGAAGTTCATAATTTGTGCATTCAATCGTTATGGATGTTACACTTAATTTACTAAAGTACAAAAAAATATCATTTTAGTAACTAAGGCACAAATTGTTGAACATCACATAACCGCAACGATTAAATGGTATTGAATGCCGTTCAAAAAAAAAAACAAATGGTATTGAATCGGTATCAATATATTTTATATGTTTTATATATTTGAAAACTAGTCGTGAAACTCACGTATTACGTGGGTTAATTTAAAAAAAAAAGTTAAATATAAATGTCAAAATATTTGAAAACTTTGAATTTATAAGAAAATAAGAAAAATAATGAATTATTATAATGGAAATGTTTTGTATCTTTTAAATTTAAACAAATAATTTTAATAAATAAAATAAACTAATGAGCTTTAATTTTAGAAAATTTGAGATTAAAAGATAAGTTTATTAATGAAATTGATATCAATTTATTAGTACATTTATTGCCATTATTACATTAAAATATTATGTGGAATTTAATAAAATAGAAAAACTCATAAAATGACATGTGGAAAAAAAATTAATTCAAAATAACCATAAAATGACATTTAGCAAATTGAATGAAAGTGTGACAAATGGCAAAAAAAACCTTCATTTATTAGAGAGGATACATGTTTTTTTATCAGATCTTTAAACATTGGCGGATTATAAAATATTATTCGGTTTGTATTATCGTAAAGGTTTATCTTTTATACATTTTCGTCACAAATCCCACAAAACAAGTTGATAGATTCCGTTCAAGTTTTGGCAAAAAATAGTTTTTATTTCATTTCTTTGAGCAGAAAAATAACGACAAATCGATTTTCTTGTATTTGGTATACTGAAAGTTACATATATTAATCCCTATGTACGGCTTCTTGTAAAGAAAGAAGATAACCTCTCAATTCTCATTATTTCATTATTTTCTTAGTGCGTATATAAATTAACTCAAATCGGTATATACAATTTACATAAAATAGTTTAGCGGCTATACATTATCTTAGTTTTGAGTGGTTTTGGAATGGAAAAGGAGTTAATATTTCATTGTTTTCAGTTATATATAAAGAAAAATTACATATTTTGTACTAATTCTCACTTTAGGATGTATTTGAGACATTACATCTAACTGAAAACTTATTTTTCAAGTTTTTTAAAATTGTGATGTTTGTCAACGAATTTTAAAGATTTAAGAATCTTTTACAAATAAAAAACTTTTGAATTTGTTTGAGGATACAAATTTAAAGCTTTTAGTTTGTAATAAAAAAAACTCTTAAATAAGTAGTTTATGAGAGAACCGTAGTAGCTTTTACATCTAATTTTTCTGTTAATATAATTTTATATTTTTAAAACCTTCAAATCTATTTTTCCAAACACTTCTGCACACATAAACCTCTTGTTACCAAGCATTTTAGGAAAAATACCTAAATGTAAGAATACGAAGTTAAGAACATATTTTGTATTGATTATACTTTAGGCATTGTATTTTCTTTGCGTCCACATTACATAATTGACCATACTTTATTTAACAATAAAATTTAAAGTACATTGTTATATAGCGGAAAATAACTTATATTACCTTAGAATATTGACAGAAATTATAGTATATTATTATTCTACATAAGAAAAACAAATTGCCCAAAATGCTAATATATATGGTTCCTAATTTGGCCGATTGCTATGGCCAAATAGGGTTTAATACTTCACGACTTTTTAAGGTTTCATAGAAATATACACTATTGTACTTATGCAATAAAAAAGTTATACATTTTTATGATCCGACCATTTGTGCATTTGAAAAAGGATCAAGATTACATGGATTTTTCAAGATTTCATTAAATGTTAGGCAGTTGAGAAGTGTATTACTTCATTTATTAACTCCCTTCTACCCTCAAACTTCATATCCAGTATTCACAATTCTTTCTCTCTCTGCTCTCTCTCCCTCTAAAGTGGGTTCATGGCTCGAAGAACCATGGGTGTGGGCATGGGTCTGGTCACAGCCATTTTGATTGTGGGTGCAGCCATTGGTGGAGCCAATGGAGATGCCATGGTCAGTGGCTCAGTCTTCTGTGACCAATGCAAAGATGGCCAAGTTTCCCTTTTTATGGATTACCCTCTCACTGGTCAGTTTTTACAAAGACTAAAAATGTTTTTGTATATTGTATTTCAGTTGTTTTTTCTGATTTAATCTTAACTTAATTGATCAAAAACAAATTCTATCTAAAGGAGTAAAAGTAGCAATGGCTTGCCCGGGGCAGGGCGGGCAGCTCAAGGTGATTAGCGAAGAAACTACAAATTTTCTAGGGAGCTACGTAATGCGGTTTGATGGGGCACGGGATATGAGTGGTTGCCGGGCACAGGTTTCCGGCGACGGGCAAGGGTGTCGGGCAGTTGCCGGTCCTGCCCAGAGCTTGAATCTCGTGTTTCAAATGTTTGATACTTCGATTTATACCGTTGGTCATTTGATTTCCCAACCTGCCCAACCAATGCCCAACTGCCCGCGGTCATCTTCACCTGTGCCCACGCCGGTAACACCAACATTGCCTCCTCCGGCCAAGTCTCCGCCTGTTCTTCAACCACCGCCACTACCAAGGTTGCCGCCCATGCCGCCAGTTCCGTTCTTGGAAGCTTCAGCTTGCCCATACCGGTAAGTGTGATCATCAACCATTCAAACTTCTATCCATGCAGTATCGACTTTTACTTTATGCATATGAAATTCCTGCTATTATTCTCCGTTGACTGTACTTTATGAATCTGAAAACTGAAATGCACCATGCTACATTCACTTGTACATTATGCATATGAAAGTATCATGATATACTGACTTGTGTTACATGTTTGTATTATAAGTATGAATGTGTACATTTTAGAAAAAAAATTATAGGAAAAAAAAATATACTAATCAAATTTAATGTATTATCTAAAAAAGCTAGTGTTATGCTAGTACAATTCCTGTTGGTCAATGAAAGCCATATTTTTTAAAAGAAAAATTATATAGCGATCACTGTGACCTTGCTAAACTAACACAAATTCTCATTATCCTACATGACAATCGTATGTATTTCCTAAAATAATATCTAATTTTTTTGAAATTGTTTCTTACATACATTTCATGTCTTGAAGGGTAATAATGTCTTTTCACCATCTTTTTTATTTTAGCATGTGGACAATGCCGGAGCACGAGTGTTATTGGAGGGTGCTAGCCCCGGACCTAAAAGTGTCATTTGTATTCGGACCACTGGCAGCAAGGAAATACGGGAATGATATTACACTGCGTGGAAGCATGACTGGTCGTGGGGACCCATACAAAACCCTTTTAAGAGAAGCTACAACTGCACTTTTAAACTCTTACAATAGTATCCAATTCCCCTATCATCCATTCGATGTTGTTCAACACTTAAATATGGCCTTGATTGGAGGATCCACACGACAAGTTCTCATGACTGCTCTTCAGTTCCTTAGGGCAAATTCGGGTCGACCTGGAAATGTTACGTGCAAGTTCACAACTTGCAACTAAAATGGTTGTTTCCGTGTCAAAACTTGTTCTTATGTTAAAATCGAGTATATTTTGACTGATTACTATTCGGATATTATTTTTATAATATATGATATATGTGAGGTATCACTAAAATCCTAATGTTGTTGTATTCGATAGTGTAAGTAATCCAGTATTATTCTTTATTTCAATTAAAGATGTTGTTGATCGTTGCTATATATGTATTCTATATATGTAGGCTAAATAAACGTGTAATGATCTATGTAGATATTAGTTCAAATAAACGTGGTTCTTTACTCATAAGCAATTAACCACCTCATAAAAGTTCTTAAGACTTATATTTCTTAGTTCTTACCAATAATAATTATGTGTAACAAATAAGTTGTTATTATTAGTAAAAATATGTGACGACTATGTTGATATTATAAATAAGACATATGGTTATTATATATACTACTTTGGGTAAAATATGTAATCCGTATATGGTTTGCCATGAGCATATGTTGGTACAAGATGCGGTTTTTGGTAGCGACATAATGCGATGTTGGGTTATATGGTACAAGTGTTTAATACGTTGCAAGACGTTTTTCAATTATACGGTACAACTATTTAATGCGTTGTAAGACTTTTTCGTCTCCTAAAAACGGCAAATTAAAGTAGGATTGGCCTGCAAATTTATTTAATAACTTTTTTTTTTTTTGACATTTAGCTGTTTGTAATTATGGATGAATTCTGTAATTTTAGCTTTATAAACCCATTCAAGATCCAAATAAGTTATTAATGAACTCTGTTTTCGACTCACTACCGAGTTGACTAAGCAATGACCACACCCATGCTCTTCCTAGTTCTTCTAGCATTGCTCTCGATATCTACTTGCCATGCTCATAAAGAAACCACGATTCACGAACTCAGAATCGCATTTAACCAAAACCGACTCAACTCAAGGCAACTCGTCGAGTTCTATCTTGGTGAGATCAATAAACTCAACCTGATATTTAAAGGGGTCCTTGAAGTGAACCCAGATGCCCTATATGAAGCAAATAGAGCCGACAGGGAGCGGGCAGCTAACGTGCCTCGGTCCCTGGTCGGCTTGCATGGCATTCCTGTCCTTCTCAAGGACAATATTCCCACAAAAGATAAACTTAACACGACAAGTGGTTCGTTTGCACTGCTCGGGTCCATCGTGCCCCGAGATGCAGGGATTGTTTCAAAGTTGCGGAAATCCGGAGCGATTATATTGGGGAAGGCTACCTTGAGCGAGTGGTCTAATTTTAGATCTCTGAGTGCACCTAGTGGTTGGAGCCCGAGAGGTGGACAAGGAAAGGTCAGTATTAAAAATTATAGTGTCTAGAGTTTTAGTTCAAACTTGCAACTCACATGCATTGCTCAACTAAAGAATCAAGACGCTCTTACAACACGTTATGGTATTTGGTAATTTGCAAAAAGTAGCAACTTACTTTACCACTCGTTATCACTATAAGTAACTATTTGCCCATTATTGAACATAGTTAAATTTTTTACTCATAAATCAACATATTTTCTTTTTTATCTATACTGATCGTGTCAATATGCAAAACCAAATAAATAAATCGTGCTTTATTAATTACCAATAATAGCAATGTACTTAAATTTATTTATCCATAACTACAACCTACTTATATTTCTTTATCCGTTATAGCAATATACTTTATTATTCTTTACGGAAAATAGAATTATGTAATCTAACATCTTTAAGCATTTTACGTATTTAGATAATATATACCTATTCTTTGTTACATATTGTGTGGTTATTGGTAAAGTAAAGAAAATCCATTTTTATTATGGATAATGAAATGTAAATATGTTGCTATTACGAGTAAAACATAATTACATTGTTTATATCGGTAGCGAAAATACGTTCATTGCTATTTTCTGCAATATATTGTATTGTTTATGAACAAACATAAACAATACGAACATCATCTAAAATTTTTTAATGCATCTTTGTAGAATCCATTCGTTCTGTCAGCAACTCCATGTGGCTCGAGTAGCGGACCAGCAATATCAGTGGCGGCTAATATGGCGGCAGTGTCAATAGGAACCGAGACAGACGGGTCTATCTTATGTCCCGCTAGCTTCAATTCAGTGGTTGGTATCAAACCTACTGTCGGTCTCACTAGCCGAGCCGGGGTCATCCCGGTTTCTCCGTCACTAGACACCATTGGGTAAACTTTTCTTTCACAATCATTTTACGCGACCGTTTCCATGTCGCTATTCACTATTTTTTATTTTATTTTTGTATTATTTTGTATGATGTTTTTTGTTTCTTTATCAGGCCGATATGTAGGACCGTGTCAGATGCGGTTTATGTTCTTGAGACCATCGTGGGATTCGACTACAATGATCGTGATGCTACTAAAAAAGCATCGCAATACATCCCGTATGGTGGATACACTCAGTTCCTAAAGGCTGATGGGCTCAAGGGGAAGCGAATCGGTGTTGTTAGAAACCCGTTCTTCGTGTTCTCTAATGGATCAAACTTACATCAAGTATTTGAAAATCATTTGCAAACACTAAGGTATCTTCTCTTAATAAAGTGGATTATAAATTACAAAAAAAAAAAAAAGATAAATACAAAACAAGAACATAAGGTTTCATTTTTTATTTTGTTACATATTCCGGGAGACATAACATAATAGTTTATAATGTATTTGAGGTGCATTTTATTAAAATCGTAATTGCTGTCAATATTACACAATTACAACATTCTATCTCAATGTGTATGTGTCTATGAGCAACACATGAACGTCGAATGAGGTTCAAAACAAAACCAAAAAGTCTAAACAAACCACGAAACCATATAATTAAAAAAATCAATGGCTAAGATTAAAGCCGGTTAGTACACGAGTAAACTAAAGTTATGACCACTACCAATCATGATCACCATCAGATGAATTTCAATGACAGCAGTGATTTGGTCAGATAATTTGGTTATGTTTTAAAACAATCATCGTGAATGTATTTTTAATTCTCAACATTATAACATGACTTTCTTTTACTACTGCATAAACTTGTTAGGAACGAAGGAGCAATCTTGATTGATAATTTGGAGATTAGTGGCATCGACACCATATCTAACGCCACCGCTAGTGGTGAAGCAGCAGTTGCAATAGCCGAATTTAAGATCGCAATAAACGCTTACTTGAAATCACTTGTAGCGTCTTCTGTTCGCTCGTTAACGGATATAATCGCATTCAATAACAAATTTTCCGATTTGGTAACAACCCGATTCGTAATTTAAACACCATTTGTTATCCATTAGTTTTTGGTTCAAAAATTTATGGTTGATTGCAGGAAAAGATTAAGAATCTTGGGCAAGATATATTTTTGGCAGCCGAAGGGACAAATGGGATCGGAGATTTGGAGAAGGCAGCAATTGCAAACATGGCGAGGCTTACGAGAGAGGGATACGAGAAGATGATGGCGGAGAACCGCCTAGACGCGGTGGTGACTCCACGTGCTGATATTTCTCCGGTGTTGGCAATTGGTGGTTTTCCGGCGATCAGTGTTCCGGCTGCGTATGACAACAAGGGTGTTCCTGTAGGTATTTGTTTCAGTGGATTGAAGGGGTCTGAACCTACATTGATTGAAATCAGTTATGGATTCGAACAAGCAACAAATGTCAGAAAGATTCCGACGTTTTTGCCTTGATCAAGAATCTTTGTCGATACTTATATGAATCTCGAAATTAGTTTTACTTGTTTGCTTTTAGAACATGGAAATAAATCTTGAGCTTTAATGACGAATGAAAAGGGTATTTCAGCCATTAAATTGTGAGGGGATTAGTAGTGCGTTTCTTGTTTAGATGGATTTTCCTTGGGCCACTATTGGTCATTAATATAAGCAACGCCGTTAAAATGATCAATATGATCTTGTGAGATAAATATATGTTAAGTTTTTCTATTCCTTTTTATATAAAAAAATTCCACAAATTAAAAGAAAAGCGTGCAACTATAGTTTGTGTTGCCAAAATTCTTTTATCTTTTCATTATTACCATTTAGGGCTTTTACTTCTAGTCCAACAAAAGTCCTTGGGCCTTGTGGGCCTTGGCCCTCGGTCTTTCTCCTTAAACGCTATATCCGCCCTAAGACTCAATACTTTCACAAAAGATGTGTTTTGTTGTAGTTGTCCTTGCTTTTATTTGGACTCTTTGAAATTTCTGAAATGCGACGCTCTTTGGTTCGAAGAAGCCGATAAAAGATGAGTTAATAGAAAATATTATTTCTCAATCGTACTTTTGTACTTTTGATTGTATAATAGAGATGTTAAACTTAGAGAAAACTTGATTGGGTGGTTGCAAAACCCAACCATGCCAATTTCTTCTTTGTAATGCTTTTTAGCTAGCTACTTGCTAGTTTTTATGGCATGTGATGACAGGTCACAAAGAAAGGCAAAGAAATTGAGTTGAACAAAATCATTTTTTATTACTACTTCATTGTTTATATGTCAGCATAGCATGTTTGTCGATCAAATCTTATTGGTTTTTAATCATGCACATGACATATGATGTCATCATTTATATAAAGATTACAACGGTGCGAGATTCATATATTAAAACTGTAGGAGAACAATGTTTGAAAAATAAGATTCTTTTAGTTGGTTATTATGAATATAATTAGGGGAGTTGGTAACCAAACAACAAACCACGGTTTTCTTTTGAATGTTGAAGTTTAGCGACAGGTTTTGGTCGACCCACTTTAATCATGTATTTGACTTTTAAGCAAAGGGGGTGTTTTCGGAAATATTATTGGTTAAACTCGAATAATTTGTTGATTCTTTTGTCTTTATAGTAAATGATGACGTGCATAAAAGAAACTTACAAGTTATATCATTAATTTGAATTAATTTGATTGGTTTATTTTTATGAATAAAATGATACGATACAATTATTATCATAAAATCAAGGACCAATTTCTATGTAATTTATTTTTAAATACATTTGATTGATTTATTCTGATTTAGGAACGTCATTTTACACAATATTCTAGAAAGATAAGGGCTCAAGTGTCATGAACTCAATAAATACAAGGGCCAATTTCAAATGGGTTCCAAATTGGTTCTATGACTCACTACTAGATTTGTTTATTGTAGCTGAACCACCATCCCCAAACCCCACCACCCCACCCCACCCCACCCCAACCAACCCCCTAACTGGACCACTATAAAAACTAAAAGAGAACTAGTGGAGTAGATCCAAAAATCAAACACATACACACAAATCCAATGGTCGAGCCCATGGTCACATTTTTCCTCCTCTTCCTCTTAGCCACCGGAACCCAGGGTCAAACCTCAGACGAAGTGAGTTGGGCCAAACGGGTAGACACAGGTTCACAAGTTGTCACAACCATGCAATTCTACTTCCACGATACTTTAAGCGGAAGCAATCCAAGTGCAATCCAAGTAGCTCAACCGCAGTCAGGCAGCAACTCACTTGGAGGGTTTGGTAACCTCATGATGGTTGATGACCCGTTGACGGAAGGACCGGACAAGAATTCCAAGCTCATTGGACATGCTCGTGGGATGTATGGTCAAGCAGCCCGAAATGAGCTTGGGCTGATTATGGTCTTAAATTATGGTTTTACTGATGGGATATATAAAGATAGTACATTCAGTCTTTTGAGTTTAAACCCTGCTATGCAGACAGTTCGTGAGATGACGATAGTTGGTGGTACTGGACTTTTTCGACTGGCGCGTGGGTATGCATTGGCTCAAACGTACTCGATTAATTCTAGTGGTGATGCAGTTGTAGGGTACAATGTCACGATTTCTACTTATATTTAAGTTGTAACCTTTTTGTTAATGTTTGTTTTTAGTATCCAATGTATTTGAGATTCTTATTCAGATGTATGTTGTTCATTTATATTATCAAATATTTAATAAATTGGTAATATATTAGAAAGTACAATGGTGGCCACTTAAATCTTTTGTGTGCTAAAATTTTAAGATGGGTATTGATTTTGTTTTGTTGGAAATGTTTGGGATATCGTTAACTATTTGATATTAAGAAAAGAAAATATTAAGAACGACCATACATTTAAAGACTCTGTTTATAGATGTTTATAGATAATAATTACATGTTGTACACAATTTTCTTCTAATGGAACTTTTAATCGTTATCTTTTGTTTTAAACAGAACTATAGAATGATGCAAATAATAAAAACTTTAAGTTGGCCACTACGATTGTACGATTGTCTTGAACCAAAATCTGAAGTCGTCCATGATTATTATTATCAATGATGTCTCATATTATCAACTATAGACTTATTTATCTCATCTCGTCGACTCATATAATCATGTTTTAATTTTCATCAAAAGTTGCATCTAAAATGCACATAATCTAAGAAACTGAAGCAATAATAAGCAACATACCGGCATACAATCATATATGAATCTGGAAAATAATCATCATGAATAGTGTTAACTTAGGGCGGACTTTAATTTCATTTGTATAATTTAACCATTTAAACTTTCTTAAAAACCAGAGTTGCCAATTTGACACGATTGTGTCATTGTCTATAACGAATATATGGAATGGAAGAACTGATGAAAGTAAAAGTTCATTTTGATCACATTTATCTAGTTTTGCCAATTGGCTCTTTTACTTACATTTCCTAATCCTACAAAAACAGTTGTCTTGAAGATTGAAAGAAGAGAAAATGACAAATTCAGCCAATTACACTAATTACATTACAAATTTAACCAAAAAAAAATCGAAATTACAAATTTGGCCATTGATTTCGCAGATGGAATAGCCCCATCTGCGATTTGGGCTTTCCATCTGCGAATGTACAAGCGGCTAAAGCACAGTTGTAGTTGAAAAATTGTTATTTTATATAATTAGAAAGATAAAAATTGTTTGTTTATATGGTTAGAAAATGTTATTTTATATAATTAGAAAGATAAAAATTGTTTGTATATTTGTCGTATAACTTGGAAAATTGTTTATATATTTGTCGTTTAAGTTGAAAAATTGTTATACTATGTGTATGTTATTGTTTTTTTATCGTAAATATATAAATTATTTATTAAATATTTGTATTTGCATTGTTATTATTGTTTATGTTATTATTGCACTTAATAATCATATATTTTAAAACGAAATATTTGTTTAGTTCTCTAATATGTTTTTGTGTTTTGTGCAGCATGATTTTAATTATTTCAATGTGAAAGCAATTGTAAACTTAAAAGGCTCGGGGTGTAATATATGGGAAGTATTTGAAGTGTTAGATGGTGTCAGGCATGACATATTTAGAGATACCGTATTTGGTTATTTGTTGGATGTCCCTCGCTTACAAGGGGACGGATTGTTGTTCCATAAAATGTTCATTCATTAGATCCGACCGGACGCTGTTTTATCTCCAGATGGAATAAAACGGTTATATTTTAGAGTAGGCGATACGAAAATGGTATATGGGCCGGAAGAGTTTTGTTTGATAACCGGCTTCAATTTTGGGGAGTATCCAAAAAACATCGGGAAAAAAGTGTCAGAAAAAATAGTAACTGATAAAAAAAGATGTTTATTGCGTGAGCGGCTATTTCCGAACTATACAAATAGTTCGGTGAAAATCGGCGACCTGAAAAGTTTTATTTTAAATCAACTATTCTTAGAAGTTGACGACGCCGATGCAGTTAGAGTATGTTTGATATACATTTTGTGTGAAGGTTTTTTGGGAAAAGAAATAAATGATCGGGTGCCACAAGATTGGTTTTTTTTTTTGCTGAGAATTTGGATGTCTGGAACAGGTATATTTTGTTTACGTTGAAAGTTTTATATTATTAATGTTAATTTATATTATAACTATTTTTTTTTTGTTTTGTTAGTTTCGCTTGGGGTAGCTATCTATGGGATTTTACGTATGATGACCTTGAGGATACATGGAACACGATAAATAAATATTTATCACTTCTGAGCGTCGTCAAACTTTAAAATACTCCGTCTCAGGATTTACGGCTCCAATAAGGGTATAAAAATTTACTTATATTTAAATTGTTTTATTGTTATGTTTTTTATTTTAATTTTAACTTTTATTACTATAATTGTAAAAATTGTAGATATGGATATATGAGATGCTTCCGGCTGTTCGTGCATGTGGATTTGTATTGAGAAAAAATAGAGACATGCCTCGGATGAAACGATGGAGTGGGACAAAAAAATTGAAATTGGTTGATGTGAACAAGATTTTTTCAAAGATACAGGTTTATAAATATTTTTTTTATTATTAATAATCTTCATTATTATACTTTTATATGCATTTTTAATATGTTAAATTTTTTAGGAGGGACAACCACCAAGACAAAACATGTTACCGAGTGATGGTGAGATGACATCTTGTTATTATATGTCATTTCAAGAGTATGTATATGGTGAACGGAAATCAGTTCCATCCCCAGTACAGGACCATTTTAGGAGACAAGACGAATCTTCGTCTAGTATGTCGTCCAGTGGTCGCTCTCATGGTAGAGGTAGGGGCAGTGGGAAACACAACCTAGACGAGGTGTTGAAACGGCTACATGCACTGGAGCAGCATGTGTTTATGAACCGAAAACCTAGAGAGGTTTTTGTTGAAGAAGTGATAATGAAGAATTTTGGAATGACATCAGTTTTGAGGAGCCTGCACTATTCCAAACAAAATTTGATGAACGGGTTAG